TCCATTTAAAAAATGAAGCTGAAGCTTAGTCACACCAAGTGAGTTGCCCAAGATGGCCCAGCTAGTAAGGGATGCAGGCACGATTCAAATCCCGTCCGACTCCCAAACCCACGAGCATTGCACAACCCGTGCATCCATTAATAGCTGTTTTCCCATTCCACGCTCCTTGCAAGCCTCCGGGGAGGCTATTACCTCCCCACCTCGCCCAGGAGAAAAGTGAGAGCCAGTGGTGGTTCACAGCGCTGGCGGGAGAGGAGCGCAGGAGCGTGCACGTGGGCGCCGCTGCAGCCACCCCACGCCCCTCCCGCTGCCACCTTTCCAGGTCCGGGTCCCACGCGCCGCCCGCTACCAACTACACTTCCCGGCAGGACGCGGGCGCGCGCACGCGCACTGGGGCCTCCGCCATGGCGACCGTGCTGTCCAGGGCGCTCAAGCTCCCGGGTGAGGAGTAGCAGCCTCGCGACCACCCCGCCCTCGCTGGGCCTGGGGAGACTGGGAGGCGAGGCTGTGGGGGCGAAGCCGGACAGGGCCTGGCTGTAACCCGCGCGGAGCTGCAGGCGCGCGGCGGCGAGCCGGTGCTGCCCCGCCGGCTGGGTCCAGGCGCCAGCAGGGGGCGAGGGGGGCGCTCGGCGGGTCGGGGGGCGTGGAAGGGAGGGACCGCTGCGGCGCGTGGGGCGGTGGCCGCGAGCGGGCGGCCCTTCAGCGGCGGCAAAGGTCGGCGCGTGCCGCCGCTGCCCCGAGGGGAGGTCTGTTGAGGGGAGCATCCTCCGGGGCCCTGCGGACGATGTACCGTGGGGTCCCCAACTCCCGTCTTGGGCTGGACCTGGGCGGGGGCAGGAGCGAGTGACCCTCTGGAGCAGCCTCGCCATTTAATGACAGCATTGACGCAGCTGTGAGGTGGGTGGGTGGAGGGGACAGGTATTTCCTCCTGGTTTGCAGAAGACGAAAACGAATTATCTGGCTCATCGACTTGTCCAGGGTCGCACGGGCAGTATTGCAAAAGCTTGGACTTGAACGCCGGGGATCTTCTGACTCCAGATCCTGGGTTTTTAATTCTCCTTGGTTAGCCTTTGGCTGTCGAGCCTAAGTACTTACGAGAGGAAATGTTTTGGCACCTGCCAGTTGCAGGTAATGTATGGGATATTCTTTAAGGAGGCCCCGGGTGGTGGGTACAACTTCCAGAGTTGATTCAGTACTTCGGGGCGTCAGCTCCACGTTTTTTGTGTTTGGTTTTGTTTTTCCTCTTTGATTTAGTCTCCAGAATGGGGGCTGCGCTGTTAGAAACTTGCTAATTTAATAAAAGCATTTATTCTGGCCAAATACATTTTAAATGTTAAGGCTTTAAAAATGTTATGGTTCTACCTAAGTAAACTTAAAATATTAAGCTATAAACATTTGCTTGTGGGTTAGTTAGTGGGAAAAGGAGTTGCTTTACTGGCATGATTAGAAAGGGCTTGTTGAGTGTCTGGTGATACCCAGCATGAGGCTGCAGGGGGATCACAGGGTCCTTGTACTCAAGGAGCTTCCAGTCTGCTACATTGTGCTATGGATGACACTGAGTTGCATATGAATTTGATAGGAATTTGCATTCTGTCCCGACTTCATGACCACAAGACATTTTTTTTTTCCACATGGGCTTGTTAGAGCTTTGGAAGGAACATTGGTAATATCTATTTTGGAATGTGTATGTAACATGGGAGTGAAATGGAGGACATGCCCCATTACTTGAAGGATGAATTAACTTTGCATAGAGTGGCCTCGTGTATCCTTGAGTAGAGGATGATATCCTCCCAAGGGGGGAATGAGATGTCAGACATGCTTAACTTTATCTCTTTTTAAATTTTAGATTCTTTTTTTTTCCAGCACAGGTGATTGTTATTCTCTGAGCATGGGAATGCAAGAAAATCGTGCTTTCCAAACTCTTGAATTCTTTTCCATTCTTGCATCCTGAGGCTGTAGCATTTTTATTCCCTGGAGCATTCAGCTGCAGTAATGGGATCAGCCGACAGGGTGGGGGAAGCACAATCCTGTTCTTGGGCTCATGCTTGCACAGCATTTGAGGCCCAGGTACAATAGCCAAATGTTCTTTTATGTGATGTAGGTTTTATTTTGTTTTGTTTTTTGCTCATATTTTTGCTTGTCTCCCTCTTGTCCTTTCCTTCACCTCAAATCCAGTTTTTAACTTTTATATTAGGTAGCAGTTGCTTTCTTATAGCTCGCTTTTTAAATTGAGGTATAGTTGACATACTAGTTTGAGGTGTGCAATGTAATGGTTTGATATTTGTGTATGCTGCAAAATGATGGCTACAATGACATTGTCACTAGTCTTTTGTATAAGAAAGCAGAACAGAATGGACTAAGAGCATGAGACAGGTTTGGGTTCAAATCCAGTCTTTACCAGCTTAATTACTTAACCTCTTTGAACTTTAGTTTCTTCAGTTTTTTAGTTTCTTCATTCATATGTAATAATATTATTACTATGGAACACTCACTATATGCCACACACTCTACTATATCTTTACTTGGTAGGGTTATTTGGTGTAGTAAAAGAGATGGAGGCTTGTTAACCTTTGACACAGTATTCAGTTAGTGTTACTGTTTCTGTTATCATCGTGAGCACCCATGATCCTTGACATATGTGAAACCTGAGGGAAGTTCCTGATGCAGTAGTGAACTCATGACAGATGTCATCAACCTTGTGAAGAAAGAGAATGTATTTCACAGTCTCATACCCTTCCACTAACACAAGAGGGAAAGATGTTTGGCTCATATGCAGAATGAGGTTAATTAGTAACAGGACAATCTGATATTCATAAAACGGCTTGTGGGATGACTTATCTCTTAAGTAAATATTTTTGTAGTTCTTTCTAAAGTTTGAAGGTCAAACACTAGAGGGGATATCAGAGCATAATGTTTATAGTATGGTTTGTTTTATTATGTACAACTTAGAATGATTATATGCCCCTGGATAAACTAAATCCCTGATAAGAATTTTTTACCTCTAGCTGCTGCAGAGGGTACAACATAGTCTATGCAAACTACAGTATATATCACAGAATAGTATATATTATAGAATATTTTCCTGAAAACATTTGTGAAAGGTACAGTTGTATCTCTTTCCTACTTAGTTTTTCTTCTACATCATTTTGGGAGTGCTTTTTAACCAGCACCCTCAGTCTTCCTAAGAGGACAAATGATAGTTGTGGAAATCTCATCTATATTGATGTGTTAGGAAGTCAATGTCCTCTCCCTTATTCTGTGAAAACCTCCCATTGATTTAAAATGTGGATGGTGGCTGAAATTAGCAGAGAAGACAGTGAAGTGCCACAAACTTCAAAGCATATATTTGATTTCTGGTCTGCAGCCTGAATTTACATTCAGACAAGTTTGTGTACTTCATGCTTTACTCTTCCTTGTTGTCTTTCTGTGAATAGATGGAAAAAATATTTACTTAGGAA